CGAAGGTGTAAAGATGACCTCTGCAAAGTATGTGGAGTTTATGACTGACCACTTTCTTCCCTGGTACAGAAGGAAGAACTATGCTTTCCATAATAAAATCATCTTCATACATGACAATGCACCATCTCATGCTGCAAAGAATACCTCTGCATCAATGGTTTGCTATGGGGATAAAAGGAGAGAAAGTCATGGTGTGGCCTCCATCCACCCCTGACCTCAATCCTGAGAACCTTTGGAGCATCCTTAAGGAAAAGATCTATGAGGGTGGGAGGCAGTTTACATCCAAACAGCAGCTCTGGGAGGCTATTCTGACATCTTGCAAACAAATTCAAGCAGAAACTGTCCAAAAACTCACAAGTTCAACGGATGCAAGACTTGTGAAGCTGCTATCAAATAAGGGGTCCTATGTTACAATGTAACGTGACCGGTTCAAATGTTTAAAAAGTTAAAATGTTGTTAAAAAGTTTGAATGAAATAGCTTTTGATTTCAGTAAATATGCTGCAAACACAACAAATGACAAATTTTCAGTTCTTTACAACCTATAAAGTGTTTTGAAACTTCCTGTGCGGAATAATTTGGAACAAAAAATCCTGTTATCATTAGGAGGTTTGTTCAATAAAATGTGAATTGTACTCTTAATAGTTGATAACATGAGAAATTATGCTGTTATTTACATCAATTATTTAGGAAAATGAGAAAAATATAATTTGCATAATAATTTGGAACACGGTGTATATGCAGCTTGACTGCATTACAGTAACAGATTAAGAGGGTTTAGTTGGGCTTTCAGGAGTTTTAAACGTTTGCATGACTAAAATCCTAATATGTCAAAATTATAAGCAACAGTATTCTAGTATCCTAAGCTAAGAATGGCATCAATTAACCACTTGCCTACCAGGCACTTATACCCCCTTATTTACCAGGCCAATTTTCAGCTTTCAGTGCTGCCGCACTTTGACAATTGCGCGGTCATGCAACATTATACCCATATGAAATTTTGATCATTTTTTTCTCACAAATAAAGCTTTCTTTTGGTGGTATTTAATCGCCACTGGGCGCTTTACTTTTTGCGCTATAAATTAAAAAAGTGCAAAAAATTTGAAAAAAAAAAAAAGTTCTGTTTCTTTTATAAAATTTTTCAAACAGGTATTTTTTCTCCTTCACTGATGTGCGTTGATGAGGTATAGCACTGATGGGCACTGATGATACTGATAGGCAGCACTAATGAGGTGGCACGGATAGGCGGCACTGATAGACAGCACTAATGAGGTGGCACGGATAGGCGGCACTAATATGCAGCACTGATAGGCGGCACTGATAGGTGACACTGATTATGGGTACTGATAGACGGCACTGACTGGCATCACTGCTGGGCACTGACTGGCGGCACTGACTGGCACAACCCCTGGGCACTGACTGGTGGCACTGACTGGCAGCACTGCTGGGCTGCACTGGTGGGCACAGGTAGGTGGCACTTCTGGGCACAGGTAGGTGGCACTAGAGTGGCACAGGTGGGTGCACTGCTGGGCACAGATGGGTGCACTGCTGGGCACAGATGGGCGGAGCTAGTGGGCGCACTGCTGGGCACAGGTGGGCAGAACTTGCAGGTGGCACTGCTGGGCACCGATCATCAGGGCACTGATCAACAGTGCCCTGATGATCGGTGCCGATCCCCGCTCTGACAACTGCCGGTTCTCGGCAGTACTTTCCTCACGATCTGACAGCGTGAGGAAAGTGCAGCCGAGAACCGGCACTTGCATTTCCCTCTGATCAGCGTGTCATTGGACACCGCTGATCACGTGGTAAAAGGCCGCTGTGATTGGCCTTTTACCACATCACGTGATCAGCTGTGTCCGTAGGACACAGCGATCACGGAGATCGCCGGGTGCGCGCCCCAGAGCGCGTTCTGGGAGGACGTCATATGACGTCCACTCAGAACTGGCCGGCCGCAGTGCAGCTGTCATTCGGCTATCTGCGGTCGGCAGCTAGTTAACCTGGAAGACTGAGGATCTCTTAAGGCAAAAAAGAAATACCGTCAGGGACAGCTCTGGCTTGAAGGGGAGTATTGCAACCTGAGCTGCTTTTTTAATTTCTAACACTGCCTAGGGGACTACTTTAATAAAAAAAAAAAAAAATGTCAGGGTAGGGTTTTGAATATTCTTTAGGCAGCAACAGGTTTTCAGTTTAAGCCCAAGTGTTATTTTCAAACTACAAAATGTGGGTTATGTGGCGTAATCAATGAAGAGATTTTTCCTTACTTCCTGATCTGGTGAGGAGCTCAGAGAGAAAGGAAGTAAGGATGCACCGAAATTTCGGCCGAAAACACCCCTTTCATCCTGTGGCCGAAAAAGAAAAAAACAAAAAAAAAAAAAAAAACAAACTACAGGTGCCGAAAAAACCCGCCGCTCCGTAGTTCAGCCTTACCTGAGAAACCATCGATCCCGGCGCTAGGCATAGAGATGCGTGAAGGAAAGATGCCCACCACACATCTCTATGCCCTTGGAGGACCGGAGTGATGTCACTTCCAGTTAATTTCTCTCTTTTTTTTAATAAAAAAAACACTAGGTCAATGCTTTTATTTGATCCACTGCTTTACATTGCAGAGGAGAGATATGGGGTCTTATTGACCCCATCTCTCTCCATATAGAGGACCTGTCACTAATTATTTCTATCACAAGGCATGCATGCATTCCAAAAGTGATTACATTATTTTTGCAAAAAAAAATAAAATTAAGAAAAAAAAAAAAAAAAAGTTTAAAGTGCCCAGTCCCCCCATGCTCACACATAGTGGTGAACGCATACGTAGGCCATGCCCACATATGTAAATGGTATTCAAACCACACGTGAGGTATCGCCACGAGCGTCAGAGCAAGAGCAATAATTCTTACACTAAACCTCCTCTGTAACTTTACACTACTAACCTGTAGACATTTTTAAAGTATCACACATGGAGATTTTTAAGTACTGCAGTTTCACGCCATTCCACGAGCGTGCACAATTTTAAAGCGTGACATATTGGGTATCTATTTACTCGCCGTAACATCCTCTTTCATATTTTACAAAAACATTGGGGTATATAAAGTTTTTTTAATCAATGTGTATTTGTTTCCAAAAAATATATATTAATTTTTAAAAACGGTTTTCGGCCAAGTGCATTTTGAATTTTCGTTTTATGACACCAGAATTTTCATTTCGATGCACCACTAAAAGGAACTAATGAGAATTCCCCCAATGTGGCTTGAAACTGCTGTCTATGCCCTCCCTGACCGAAGGACTTCCGTTTCCCTCCATTCTAGTCCTGGTATCACAAAAATAAAAATAATTCTCTTTAATGGAGTCCCAGACAGAAATAAACTACTAGCTCAAGCATTAATATTAATAAATCATAGTAAAATGTAAAAATCAGGATAAAATCATAAATCATTAATATGATACTATAATAAAAACTGGTGACAGTTCGTGGCAGGTGATAAGTACAGGAGTTGATAGTGACTTGAAGTTCCAGTGGCGTGGTGATAAATAGTAAAAATACGCACTCACCAGATGCGTATCTTTCAATACGCGAATAAATCAATATAACCAGAGATCCCCCTCATGGGATGGGATGGACAGACTTTGGGCAGCCAAACGGTCGTCCCCCTTGGTATGAATCACCGGGTGTCACCGTGGAAGCCTCTAAGGTGAATGGGCAGGATAACTCACACTGGAACTGGCATCCTCCTCTGCACTGGTGGACTGATGTCAACAAATGGAAATGGCTCCTGTGCCACAAAGTATGGGCTCTAGGAATGAATGCTGGCTCACGAGGGAGTAAACAAATAATGCCCATGGTGTAGTATTTTATAAAAAATTAATTTAATAATCCACGTGGTATGAAACATAATAAAATCAGAGTACACAAGCAAAGTATACTGACCGTGTGAAATAAAAGGTGGCTACCAGACCTCTATAGGGAGCCGGTGGCTAGACGTCACGGCATTATGGCCCCTTTGACGCGTTTCACGCAATTGCACTTCCTCAGAAAGGGATATCCTGGAACGTCAAGTCACTATGAACTCCTGTACCTATCACCTGCCACAAACTGTCATCAGTTTTTATTATATTTTATTATAGTATTATTTTAATATGATTTTATCCTAATTTTTACATTTTATTATAATTTATTAATACTTATGCCTGAACTAGTACGTATTTATCTTTTAGCGCTGCACTTTCTATTTGTGTATCTTTAGAGGTTTTATTGTGATCACCTTTTTCGTGCTTTTTGCTGCTATACTAATAAGCGCTCACTGAGTATATCTTATTATCAGAAATAAAAACCTGACATCCTCGCTCTCCTCTAAATTTAAAACCTAAATCCGAACTTCAGGATAAGCAAATACTTTTTAAGCCACATGTATTCTTGTTCAAATCTTGGTGTGCTTTGTGCATTTCTTCCAGATCTGTGCAGTAATCCCGTGTGAGACTTTACCTAAATGCAGGAGCTTCCTGTAATGGAGACCAGTCACTGCTGCTCTCTCCTTGTGCAGGGTGACAGGTCTTGTCAACCTGTAGTGCAGGGCAACTGTGGCCCTCCAGCTGTTGAACTACAAGTCCCATCATGCCTCTGCCTTTTTTGGAGTCATGCTTGCAACTGTCAGTTTTGCAATGCCTCATGGGACTTGTAGTTCTACAACAGCTGGAGGGCCACAGTTGCCCACCCCTGCTGTAATGGGTGGCACTTTGCAATATACCCCTCCGCCATGGAGTTCTGCTCTCTGCACAGGCCATTTGCAGCAAGATTATGTTGTCACTGCTATTTTTTACACGGTAAGGTGCCTGGATTTGCAAAGGCATTAGCTACCCACAATGTGAATTTAAATCATTTGTGGCTATTGGGGAATATACAGTATTTAAATGAAAGCTTTTGTACCCAAAGGTTTGGAGCGGAGCTGTCGGAAGGGTCAAAATGCTAGGCAAGAGTGAAAGAACCACAGCAAGTCCCCTGGCCATCGCTTACCAATAGCTCTTCGGAAATTCTCCATTAACACTTCTGTTTTCTTAATTTCTGTAGAATAGACTTCGCTGCCAACCATTGGACAAAATGGCACTTTGCTGCCCAACTCCTGTGCGATTGCAAGGGCCAGAGCGGTCTGCCAATAAAGAAAAGCAACAATAAAAATGAGGTTATAAAGTATGATTCATCTAGAGTAAAAAATCATGGAGTCTAGCTTTATAGGGACAGTCTTCAATTCCATTCAAATCTGAGCTCCATAGTGAAGTTGAAACTAAGCTGGTCCAAACCATCTATTTACTTAATAGATACAGCAACTGGGAGCACTGTATAAACTTCAGGTAGTCTCAGCCACATACAGTAAAAAAATATATAAAGAAAGGAAAAATCGCCAGCAAAAACCAACAAATTATATATCAGCAGCAACTCCCACCAAAAAAAATGATATATGTGTAGCAATCAATTAATTAGGCAAAGTGAACAAACATAAAGGAGTATGCGCTAAAAACAAAAATATTTTATATATATATATATATATATATATATCTATCTATATCTATATATCTATCTATCTATCTATCTATCTATCTATCTATCTATCTATCTATCTATCTATCTATCTATCTATCTATCTATATATATATATATATATATATATATATATATATCCACATGTGTATATCACCATATATTAAAAAGTGTCCAATAATAAATATTAAATTGTCCAAATCAATTTATCTTCTGTGACTTCATAACACTGTGAAAATCCACCACCAAATGAATTAAACTCACCAAAGCTATATGCTGATCAAGTCATAGACCAGCAATAGCGCTTGTGCTCTGGGAGCGATGAATAAACTGTGTCCAGATAACAGATGTAATAGTATTCAATCACTTCCAGGTAAGTAATAGTAACCAGCATGAGGAATAGTATATCTCTACCAAGGCAAATACTCTGCAGCCAAGGGTCTCATGGCAAAACTCTCCACTTGTGATCACACCTCCATATATCCATACAGCACATTCAGGGACAAAAAAAGAGAACATAATGGTGCAGTACGTTTTAAAACCATTTATATATTTAATAATTTTCAAAAAACTCACAAACAAGGTGCCCAGACAGACACCAGCTTGAATCGCAATGTACAAACAGAGGTGATGGATGAACCCCACTCACCACGGATCACCTCCGACAATGGGAAAGAACGTTCTGACGTACACATTGAGTAGGCCACGCCCAACGCGTTTCGTCACCACAACGTCATCAAGGGGCGGTACATCACCTCTGTTTGTACATTGCGATTCAAGCTGGTGTTTGTCTGGGCACCTGGTTTGTGAGTTTTTTGAGAATTATTAAATATATAAATGGTTTTAAAACGTACTGCACGATTATGTTCTCTTTTTTGTCCCTGAATGTGCTGTATGGATATATGGAGGTGTGATCTCAAGTGGAGAGTTTTGCCATGAGACCCTTGGCTGCAGAGTATTTGCCTTGGTAGAGATATACTATTCCTCATGCTGGTTACTATTACTTACCTGGAAGTGATTGAATACTATTACATCTGTTATCTGGACACAGTTTATTCATCGCTCCCAGAGCACAAGCGCTATTGCTGGTCTATGACTTGATCAGCATATAGCTTTGGTGAGTTTATTTAATTCATTTGGTGGTGGATTTTCACAGTGTTATAAAGTCACAGTATACAGTGCTGTGCTCTGACAGTGCAATGGGCACTTCCCATCCCATTCCCAGAAAAAAAATAATCGAGTGTAGCAATGACTGAGCGTGAGAGTAGCGCTGCGCTTCATGAATGGTCCTGTAGTCTTCTGGGACCTGTCACGAGTCCCAAAAGACTACAGGGAGGGAGGACACCTTCCACTTCCGATCGCCTAGGCGATCTGACCGAAAGTGGAAGCGGGTATCTGCAAATTCGGGTACCTGCTGCCACCCCGCTTCCCAAAGGTGCCAATCCTTAATGGGGAGCAGTCCTTAAAGCGGAACTTCTCCTTTTAGGTGGAGCTCCGCTTTAAAGTGGTTAAAAAAGCTTCAACAAAATATTCAAAGCTATAAACATAAAAAGCAGACGCCTGTGTGTGTGTGTAAGGCCCAAACAGGCAACAGAGACAGCAGGATGCAGAAAAAAAAAAAAAAATCAGGGAGACATCAGTTTTAATTTGGTCATTAGGCAGCTTGTCTCGGTTTCAGGATACAACTAACTTTGAAGCTTTTCACAATGGGCAGAGAAACCCTTTAACACAACAAAATGATGTTCCCTGGAGGGAAGGCGCATCTGAACAATGCAGAAAGCCTAAACAGCGTGTCATCAATCACAGCGCTGCCCCCATGGTAATGTTCTTCACATTAATGTCCTTTAATAAGCATGGATCAGTGAAAAGTCAACTATGAGCTCTGTAACGAAAGCATGCTTAATTGTTCTCGTAAACACAGAGCCGATTCAGAGGACGCAGTGGAAGGGGAACATTTCAACACATGGGGGCATTGCCAGCACTTGTACTTGTGATGAACATTCTGACTTTCATGCTCGACATTTTCCATGGCTAAATAGGATGCAGGTGAAAACGCCCGTTACCTTGCCAGTTCCAGGAGGTCCAGCCAGCAGCACCGCTCTCCCAGCCATTTTCTTGCTTTTAATTAGCTCTACTATTACGCCACATGCCTGCAATTTAAAGGGAAAAAAAAAAAAGACATGGTTGAAACGGTGGATATGCATGAAACATGAGCTCTGACCAAAAAAGGTTAAAACAAAACAAAAAAACAATGTTTTGACAGCTTGCTATTAAAGAAACTGGTAAAGAGGCAAACATAACCAGAGAGGTGAAAAATAAATGCTGTGATGGCTTGCCGCCTTTAAAAATAACTCTTCAACTGCCAAAATAAATACATAAACCAAGGACAAGCCTGCAAAATAAAGAACTGAAAATAGGATTCCAGCTTAACCCTAACTAGTCTTAATGTCCCCCTTCCCCTCCTAAAACCTATACCGACTAACCTCTGTTAACCTCCCTAGCGGTCTGATTATGTCAGTATTTCTGTGCTCAAAGCGGTACATTTTTTTTGCATGGAAATATGTAGTTTTTTTATTGTAGGCCTGTAATTCTTAGGACTAACTCACTGAAATCTGTCCGAACAAGAGTCTAGTAAACATCCCGGGGATGATAAAACTTGAAACACGAAATCATAAATGATAATTTAATCATAAAAAATATAATAAATTTAATTCAATAATATAATCAAACCAAAAACACTGAAATGTGAAATATAGCGCCAAGTTCGCACATCGCTGAGCAAAGTCGCAGAATCGTTTTCAGTGTCTGATGAGGAATTTACCCCATGAAACATTATCACTCAATTCTGCAAGTGGTTCTGATTTACTATCGCTGTTCTCTAGCCGGTCTAAAACCGCTTTTGACCTAAAGGGACGCTTTTTGGACGCCATGGACGTTTCTCAGTTTCCAGGCAGAAAGAACAGTAAAAATGCAGGCAGGGCGCCGGACAAAGCACTCGGGACAAAATGTATGTGAAATGGTTGGATACAGGAATGTTATACTATGTGATTTTAGTGTATTGAGTGAATGTCACATTTTTATATTTTTGAATTTCCCACCATTTCCATCCCCCGTATGTCCCGACGTCACAGGGAACAGAACCCGGAAGACAGATACTGGCATCGGCCGGAGGACATTGCCGGGGACACTGCAGGAGGGACATCACAGCAGTGCAGGACAAGGTAAGTGCTGGAGGGATCCCAGAGCAGGGTATTCCCGAGTGTAGCTCAGGGTTACTGCTTTTGGTACTGAAAGAATACTGCCGGGGGGGGGGGGGGTTTACGAATATGTATATACTTCCCTATTTGTAGCCCGCTACAGTCAGTTCATGTGATCTGGCTCCCCATGTCAGCCAGCGGAAGACTGCAGCAGAGGGGAGGAAGCACCAACAACAGCAGAGACATGCCATATAATAAGATGGCGGTCTGGGCGTTGTGCCCTTAATTCAGCACAGTATATGAGAAACTGCCTCCCAGATGTCTTGATCCCTTGAAAAAGTCCAGGAAATGACGAAACGCGTTGGGTCACACGGCGTCTGACGTACACACGCCAACCGGAAGTGCGATCGCGGCCATTTTGAGAGTGGGCACATGCTGTTTTTTTTTCATTAAGGACTACCACAACAGTGCCCTGAGGACTGGATATTGAACTCTGCCTATTTTAATGTAAGAAAGAATCTTTATTAAAGTTTTGTGTATCTACGATTTACCACCGACTACCTCCCCTTTACTCGAGGAAAATATGAAGGAGTGAAAAGGAGGAATAGAAAGCCTTTGAAGAGTGCCATTACTTTGTGTACAAAGCATGTCATTCATTCATTAGGGTAATTATGCAATCTCTCACCAGTTGGAGGTGATCACTGAGCATTTCACTGGTGTGCTTTGAAGTGTTTTACCAGTTCCCATCTCGTGGAGGTGATCACGGATATGTATTGATGTGATATTTTGTTCACTATAATTTTTTTTTTTTTTTTCGCTATTTGCACGTGTGGAGTGTGCACACTTTGCAGTTTGCATGTTACACCTATAGTCACCAGTGAATTATCTAATTGAAAGGTAATACACTATTTGGAGTTTTTTGGTGGTGGCTCACAAGGAATTTGAAAAATCGACATCTGTATCACCTACAAGCTTGTTGGATCTGCTTTCCCTTGTAGGACAGTGACCAGTTTTTGGGACATTTTGCTTTATTTATTCTATTTATGAATGTTCATTTACGGTTCTGCTTATTGTTTATTATAGGGAATTCTGAAAAGTCATTGATATCATGTGTGCAAAGGAGAGGGAAGGGCACATTTTTAATACCAGTTATGTTGAGGCTGGAATTCTACTTTGATTCTCACTGCCCAGCTCACAGATCTTCAGTCTTTAGCAGAGCTGAAACTTTATGAGATGTCCTTTTCCAGCTTTATAAAGTTCAATTACCTTGTTACGCAGAACTTTTGACAGTTCTTTTCTGATCCCCATGGCTCAGTATCTAGCCTAGTCAGTGCTTCCACGTAAGAGCTAACACACTCATTGACTATTTATACACTGACACTAATTGCAATTTAAAAAAGCCACAGATGTGGGACATTAACCTCTAATTGGCATTTTAACCCGTGTGTGTCACCTTGTGTGTCTGTACCAAGGCCGAACATTCCAGGGGGCGGAGACGTCTGATCCGGGCCATTTGGGTGATTTCTGCTATCATTATGATTTAAAAAGGAGGCAAACAATTGTGATAATAAATGGCTTCATACGATCATCATCCTTCAATAAAAGAACATTTTTTGGCATGATCAGTCATATTTTCAATATCAATGCCAAAATTTCACAATTTCTGCCAGGGGATGCAAACTTTTGAGCACAACTGTAAATTGAAATTCAGCATGTTATGCAGGGACCAGCCAAATTTGGACCCATGTATGGGGACAGTGGTTGTACAGACGTTGATCTAACACAGACACCAATGACGGGGCGCTCTTCCTCCCACAGACACCAATGACGGGACGCTCTTCCTCCCACAGACACCAATGACGGGGCGCTCTTCCTCCCACAGACACCAATGACGGGGCGCTCTTCCTCCCACAGACACCAATGACGGGGCGCTCTTCCTCCCACAGACACCAATGACGGGGCGCTCTTCCTCCCACAGACACCCATGATGGGGCGCTCTTCCTCCCACAGACACCAACAATGGGGCACTAATCTTCCCATTGATACCAACAAAGGGGCAATAATACTACCCCAAATACCATGATGGGTCATTGTTTACTCCTTTACTCCTGACACCAGGAAATTTGCTTCTCCCACTGGCTATAGTCCGGTCCCCATAAAGTTTGAAGGACAGTAATCTGGTCCTTTCTATAGAAAGTTTGGAGACCCCTGGCCTATACTCTCTGTAATTGGTATTTACTTTTCAGAGGGCTCCTAGATAAGCTATATAATATGTTTTCAGCATTTTTAGGGGTTAGGGTGATATTTTTTTCATACTGCTATACCAAATAATTGATTTGTCTTTTTCGTCAAGCAGTGTGGCCGATTGCTCTTTGAGGGATTTGCGCTGGTTACAGATTTGGTTTGCTCCAGCCGGCATGCAAAGTGGTGCGGTTCTGGGTTGGGTTGATGTCTATTAATACAGTACAGGTGCTCTTTAGCATCTACTATACCTACAGTCCTATTTATATATTGACTTTGATACTCCTGGACTGTGTCCACGGACATTTGACTTCCACCTTGAACGGCCCCATGATACTTGCACAGTAATGAGGATGAAGTTTGCACTGTATACATAAAGTATCAATGGAATATGCTGCTAGAGCTTTGATCTCTCTCTAAATAGAAACCCTCCAATCACTGGTTCACGTTTTCTGCTGCAATCAGATAACCCCACAGCATGGTCCACATGGACTAGACTTGTCAGAGGTCTTTCCAAATTGTGCACTGCTCCACTGACAGCGTTCCCACACATAGCACATCAAATGAAAACCATGCCACAGGAACGGCTCGGCCAGTAAATAAAAATACATGTGAAAGGCGGCCAAATATGGAGCATTTCAAGAGACTTAACTCATTCAGTGGGTGAAGGCTTTACAGATTTCCTGCAAGAGCTCTAGAGGAGAGCCTGGTACATAGTGCTTCCCAATCACGTGTCATATGTCCTCACATGGGATGAAGGATGGATGGCCTTTCCGAGGAATGAATGGAGATTATGTAGCGTGTCGAAGAAAAGCTCGGCCCTGAGACTTTTGAAGCAGTGGCTCCCAAAGTAGAACATGCTGAATTTTTTGCGCATTGAACTGTACTGGAACGCAATAAAATGCACAATAATGAATGTCCTTATTTAAGTTGAAGAAAAAGAGCGTGGGAAAAAATTAACCGAAACGCATTAAAAACACATTGGAGTGTGCACCAAGGACCCCCATTATCCGCAGGGCCACGGACACTAGAGGGCGGCAGTGAATACACCAAGGACCCCCATTACCGCAGGGCCACGGACACTAGAGGGTGGCAGTGAATACACCAATGACCCCCATTATATGCAGCACAGGGCGGCAGTGAATACACCAAGGACCCCCATTATCCGCAGCACAGGGCCACGGACACTAGAGGGCGGCAGTGAATACACCAAGGACCCCCATTATCCGCAGCACAGGGCCACAGACACTAGAGGGCGGCAGTGAATACGCCAAGGACCCCCATTATCCGCAGCACAGGGCCACGGACACTAGAGGGCGGCAGTGACCACCTGACCCTCCAGAATGCTGAGAATGGAGGAAAAACCGGAAATCTGATGAGCGACACCATTGCTCCTCCTCTTTCTTCACTCACAGGAAGTGCGTTGTCTCAGGAATTCTCTTCCTCGGGAAATGTTCTGTCTCCTCAGCGGATTGTTGTTGTCAGCAGCCTTGGTGTGGAAGCACTCCGTTCCTTTCTATGCCAATGTAAATTTTTTTTTTTTTTTATCTCTGAAATGTTATTGAAATAATTCTGCATAAAGGTGATTGAAAATCTGAAAAAAAAAAACCAAAAAAAAAACCCACTGGAACACCTCAAAAACATGCATACAGAAATGCATCCGGACTGCATTTCTATGGTGTGAACTGGCATTAAGGGCTAGTTCACACCAC